TGCTGCTGCTGCTGCCACTGCTACAGCTATTGCTACTGCTGCTACTTCTGCTGCCATGACCCCTACCACTACCACTACCACTACCACTACCGCTACCACTACCACTACCGCCACTACTACTAGTTAGGCATGCTCTGAACATACATATGTAAACATGTAGTTATCACTGCTTTTAGCATGAGGATCGTCAGTGTTCTTCAAGATCAATGATGGTTTGTATTTCACATTATTCTCGTTCTTGTCATCAGCAACATAACCTCCCTGGCTTTTGGCATCGGTCCGGTTGGCCTCACATTGCTGTTGCTGCATGTTTTATTTCCGCTGGCTTTTGGTTGCGCCTTCGGGAACCCTAAACCCTTCAGGTGGATGTCGCTGTGCTTGATCTGGGCGGCGAGAGCATCACCGAGGGAGCCATTGCCGAGTGGACCGCCAAGGCCGAAGCTCGCACTGCTGCGGCCAGGGTTTGGGCTGTTAGAGAAGTACCCTAAATTGTAGGATCCTTATGATAAGGATCCTTCTTATAAGGACCCCCAAATATGGTACCCCTTATTTTCGGGGTGATGAGCTTGCATGATTGTTCCCAAGACAGTCTGACCTTGGCCAAGGCACCCTTGTCCCAGCGTGCATGTGCAGGTCGGGCAAAACGTGAAGAAGGACCAGGTGATAGCAACCATCGAGACCGACAAGGCCCAAAGCTGACAGATGCGACATCGCCGCCCTTCGGTGGCCTTCCGAAGGGGGAACCTCTGCTCCAAGCCTTTAAGCATTGGGAAGGTCACGGTGGACGTCAAGGCGCCACAGGATGGCCAGCTCCTCGAGATCAAGTGCCAGGCCCACACTGAGAGAGGTACTTCAGACACAGGAGAGGATCTCAATGCGTTCGCAAGACACTGTGCGGCTCTGCAAACTCCATTACCAAAACCCTTAACTTTCATCTCATAAAGTATGGAGGATTTCTGGCGCTAGACGGCTGCGATCACTATTGGAACCATTCTTGGCATTCTTCGCTTCATTCTAATACTTGTCGTTGTAGAAGCAGGTACGAGTAGTCACAGCAGTAGCAGCCAAGAAGTTAGAAGCAAGGTCTGCTGGCGGTAGAAGCCACAACCGCGGCCGTTGCTTGCACCATTGGCACTTCGTCGACTGACGTCAGTATAAATGCTATCACAACCAGCATCAGCATATGATCTTTGCCCACCATTGTCGTCATCATCGTCGTTACCTGCATCAGCGGCAGTCATCGTCATCATCACCATCATCGGCTGCATTGTCATCAGCATTACAATCTTTATCGGGTTCGGCATCACCATCACAATCACCATCACCATCACCATCACCATCACCATCACCATCACCATCACTATCATCACCGTCACCGCCATCATTGTCATCATCATCTTCATCAGTTCGATAATCAACATCGGTATGATCACTATCATCATCATCATCATCATGATCATGATCATCATCATGGTTCTTTGCCACAAACACGGCATGTGTGGCTCGCAGTTGAAATGCTTGTTCCTGCAATAGGTGCGGCTTGCTCGAGCCCCAAAGCTGACCTTGAATGCTGCATCTGCTGCACAGGTGTCCACATGAACCAGGTCACCGGGGAGCTCTTCCAGCCCAATGACCTCATCCCAGGCTGCCTTTTGTGTTTCCGATTGCAGATCGGACTACAAGTGGGTTCGGCCAGCGTTTAGTGAGCTGGAGTGCCCGGAAACCCCCAACCAGGTGGCCCAAGCACGTGTTGCAAACCCGCTGTACGAGCGATGCATGTGTCTGTCCAGCTGAGCACTCGCAAGAAGCCGCTGCTTCTGGGAGCGCAGTGTGCTGCGTAAGTCATCTTCCTACCCACCGCCGTCTTCAAGCGAGAAAACACAACGCGAAGGCGAAGGAGCCTCCCAAAGAGCCCTTGCCAGGTAAGGTGGTCAAGATTTACAACAACGAGTTCCTGATCGTGGACATGGACGAGTACTCCAAGAAGGTCTGGGTGATACATGTTCTTTTTCGTCTGGGTGGGGAGCACTCCGTCGAGCCGTGGGGAAAATTGCCTTTCACGTGGGGGGCAACTCTGTCCCTTTGCGAAGTCGGAGCAAACAAGGGTTGAAAGGACTAGAGTGACTAGGGTACTCAGAACCGTCATCTTTTTGACAAGCCGGCGTTTCAGATGGCATCCTGGCCCCACCAAACCTTGGGTTTGCACTGTATTCAATACAACTTGGGTCTTGGATAGAAGCTGTTGGGGTGCTAAGCTGCCGGAAGTAGGGCCGGGGTGTCGTTTGGATGTGGTGTTTAGACGCGCATCTCATTGGAGTCTCCAGTCTGGATGCGAGCTTCGCATCCCAGGTCTTCGAGAACCCGGATGCTTTGCTGCGAAGGTTCGATCTGGAGGCACAGCGGTTTTTCGGGATGAATGGATGTATCAGCTTTCGGGTGGGGTGACCGCCACGATGAATGCAAAGATGAAGCAAGACTCGGGATGCTACCGGATGAAGGTACTCACTGTTCTCACTTACTGCGGTATATGCTTGCATTCCGAGTTTGTCGCCGCTATCATCACGGCTGCTATATTGGTCTTGGTGTTTATGTTTTTGCTTTACGCGAATAGTCGCTTTCACCAGAACCGTTCGAGTGTCGTGACAGGTCTGGTGTTTGGAAGCGTCATCTCTGGTTTCCAGCATTCCCGGAGTCAACACTGTTCCAGTAACTACTCTCTGCTATGATTGTCGTCATTTTGTGATGCAGCTTCCTCTAGGATTCTAGAAACTGGAACTCTGGGTGCTGCAAGGTATCTCTCAGGAGCAGGAGGTCAGGGCTTTTGAGGGCGTTCGTATTGTCACATCTTGTGCTACGGAAAAACAGTGGACCTGCATTGGTCGATGCGGCTGTACTTTTCCAGTGGTTTACGGGCATGTTTGTATGCTGGTTTTTGCTACCTGCTATTTGGATTCTGCTTGTTGGTCCTGTAGTCATGGTGGCAGGGTGATGGTGATAATGATTATGATCATGATGAGGGTCGGGAGAAGGATGGCGATGACAGTGATGACGATGATGGGTATCGCCGCCTCGCAATTCTCAGTCGTTACTACTTTGCTCCTCTCTGCCCTATCTAAGTAGTATGGCCCCTCTGCTAAAACCCTTACAGTACCCTTACAGCATCCCTTAAAAAGAACCATTTTTGAAAAGACCCCTATTCTCATACATTTACGGCCCCCTATATTACAGCCCACAGCCTTCACGGAAGCGGACAGGCGGTGCTCCAAAAGATCAGGGACTCCATGCGGCAGCAGTATCCGCTGGTGCGGGACGTCTTCAGGTGCCCGCTGTCCGACTGGCCAGACTCCTGCAATCCAGGGCTAGGGAGGCCTTTTTACGTATTGATTCCAAGGGAAGGGTCTGAACTCGATTTTGTGGATGCCGCACATCGGAACTCTCCTTAACCCGTGTAGGGGTAAAGGGAACGAGGTCCTAAGCTCGTCCCTGCAATGATAGTGTGCAACCTCAGAGACCCCTCTTCCTGCTTTTGCAGGAAGTTCGACAGCGACCACGACGGTGTGAACTGGCTGCACCCGGCTACACATTGCTTTCTGACCTCGGAGCGTCCACAGCATCCAACAGTATAGAACAGTAGTGATCAGTAGTGCTATGGGTAGCAGCACGAGGAGTAGCATGAAGGCCGGCGTCGTGGTGGTGATTGAATTTGCGTGTGTTTTTGGTAATAATGACTGAAACAAGACTGGCGGCAGTATAAAGGTTTTGAAAATGCACCAACCCTACCATGTAGCATACTGCAGCGTATGGTAGTGTACTTTGGCATACTGGCGCTACAGTGACACATTCATGACTGCGATGAATATGCCGCGAGCAGCAAGGTGCTCACAGTGGCCGAGTTCCAACAGGCGCTGGAGAAGTTCGGCTTCCAGCTTTCTCCCGAGGACGCGCCGCTTTGTGAGGGGAGAGAACTTGACAAACGGCATATGACAAGTACATAGATAAGCACATAGCTAGATAAGTTCGAATTGAATCGGTCAGTGAGCAAACGTGTATGTGTGTGTGTATGTATGTATGTATGTATGCATGTAGGTCAATGTATATATATATGTATGTATGTATGTATGTATGTATGTATGTATATATATACATGTATATATAAGTACATCTATATGTATATATACATATATATATATGTATATATATATACATACATTATGTAGGTACGTATATGAGCGTACCAGCGAACAAACAAACACGCACATAGAAAAACTGCCTAAACGCACAAATAGACACATGCAGTCGTGTGCATGTGTATATATATATATATTTATTATATTTATGTGTGTGTACGTTTATGTATATGTGTATATGTGCTGCAAGTTCTGTAATCTGTTTACGATTTTGCTGGTTCCAAGGGGGTAGTTCTTGTCGGTGTAAGGCCGTGTTTTGTACTGACAATGAACCGATGTCTCAGAATACTGAATCCTTATGCAGATGCTACATAACAAAACCAGACAGTTTGGACTCTTCTAGTTCCAGTTCGGGAAATCAGAGGCTTGGTTTTGCATTTCCCGTTAGCTGTTCCAGGTTCCCTAAGTATCTGGTAGATTCGGATAGGATCGACATCGAGTGAATTTTGAGCTGGCTCGCACGTTCTCCAAAGACGAATCTGCTAATCTTGGTCCGTCTGAGAACCGAAGTGGACTGGCCAACGAGGATGTGCTGAAGATCATGAGGCACTTCGACACTCGAAAGGATGGCCAGGTGAGCTACAACGAGTTCTGCGACGCCCTGCCCCCCGACGAACAAGAAAGATGAAGCGTCCGGTTGCGAGGACACTCGTGCTATGAGTTCTTTGTACAGTCTGGCGGCTTTTCAGCTTCTTTTCTCGGGCATCCAACAGTTCGCTCTCTTCCACCCGCTCCGCTGTCGCGGCTTTGTGTTACTTGCTGTACTGCCACGATCCTCTATCAAAACCAATGCAACGACGATGGGAAGGTGACTCCGATCGTCGTTTCTATTCTCCTCACCTGTCTGTGCGTCTGTCTGTCTGCCTGTGTGTATGTCTGCCAATCTATCTGTCTATATGCTTGTTTTATTCAACACGAGCCTCAATTCAGCGCATCTTTATCCTTATCGCCAGGCTTAGCAGGTTCTCATGCTTTCGTCAGTGTTGCTGGCAAGCCTGCTGCTGTGATTGGTCATTATGTTTAGTACGCCCGAAATCCGGTTGCGAAGCAATGGGCTTGACATGCAACGCTTCCCAGCATGTGCTGCGAATATGGATTCCATCTATAAGTCTCCACATCAATCTTCGAAGGATCCGGTCAAGTCCGTTCGGGAGCCCAAACACCGCAAACACATCTGCCCTTTCCCAGGCACTCAAACGCACGAAGCACCTGAACCCTGTAACCAAGAGACCGTTCCTGGGAGGTTAGATCCTGACTGGACCACTGTGATGATGCAGACCAAGCCACCCTTGGATGAGCCACGGCTGCTGGTGGCTGTGGTTTCGGGAGGTATGTGCATCGAAAGGTTCGGGTGATCAAGATCATGGTCTTATATCTTATAGCTAGAGGCGACAGCCATGGCAAGGGGCTTTTTGTATCCTTACTGACATCGGTCACGTCAGCAAGAGTCCGGACGCACTCCAAGCCTCAGGCCTGAGGTTGGCTCCGGGGTGTATGGAGTCGTATAGGTGTATCGGTGTATGCTTGGATAACCAACCCGTAGAGCAAAGACCCTCAACAACGGCTTTCAACAAACCGTGGCCATGGTTCTGTGCCAAGGACTCGCATGACCACAGCTACGCCGAGCGGGCCATGGTGAAGTCCGCGGAGCGGGCAGAGACAACGCAGGCGCCGTTGTGATATCCTATAGCGTACCCGAAGACGATTCTCCAAATACAGACACCCCAAATGATCCGATTCTTGGTTTGGCCCACGGTATGCTGCCCGCTTGGGTGAGATGCATGCCGCCGACGGCGCAAAAGCTCCCCGAAACCCATCAAAGAGAGAGAGAGAGAGAGAGAGAGCGAGAGAGAGATATATATATATATATACATACATACGTACACATATTCCGGCTACGTTCCAGCACATGCGGATTCGGACGAAGCTGTGGACCATGAAGGGAGGCCATTGACTGTGAACTCCTAGACTCTAAAGAAAGCCACCGACCCGCAGCAGGTTCGCAAGGCCATCAAGGACATGGGTGACGTGCTGTACAAAAAGCACCTCTGCGACATTCATTGGTTTCAAGGCTAACCTCGAAGTTCCGCGAGAGGGAGTTGAAATAGGGTAAATAGGGGCCCCCAAGGAGGGCTCAGGGCTTCAGGACTCGCGGGGTCCGGCCCGCCCAGGGAGACTTTCATGAGTTTTTGTTGAGGCACAACTTCATCATGAAGCTGCTGAAAGAGATGCAGCACATCACTCATGAGGCGGGGACAGGCGGTTTCTTCGCAAGCACCCTCCTTGAATCAGCTGCGCGAGTTTTCAAAAGTAGGGTGCTTCACAAGCAGCATCCCCGAACAGGAAGCAGTCAGCCGTGTCATTGAAGACGTGGCAATCTCAAATCTTTCAAACAGCTGATGTTGAGAGGACCATGTTTCTGCGGAGCAGATTCAGCATGCCTTGGAGCAGGCCGATTCAGCGCAGAAAGCAATTATCGTTATCATTCTCATCATTGTCATCAATATATCTGTTATTATTTTTACTATTGCTATTGGTTTCGCTGTTACTGTTACTGCTACTTTGGCTATTACTAGGGTAGATCGCCCTCGTTTGCCCAGCTTTCTATGTCGCTCAGGTCTGCATCGTGCCCCATGCTGCCAACTTATTTATTGGCCAAGGCATCCATGCCCAAACCATGATCACGTCCATGCTGCCAACCCATCCATTGGCCAGTGCATACATGCCCAAACCATTATCAACACATGTTTCCGCGCAGAAGCATAGTTTTTTCTTGCAATTTTTCCTGCGCATATCGTCATAACGGTAACACCATGTTGAACAAAGCTAACGGTATCGGCCTTGCCAGGCTTTTCCAACAATATTCGAAGCCGGGGTGGAAGGACACGTTCTGCAGAACCTAGCCTTAAGCCTCCATCCCGACCTGTCGTTGCACTGCCCTCTACTCTAGATCAACACATCCGGCCGCATCAACAAGAACAACAACGACTACTAGTACTAGTACTACTACTACTACTACTACTACTACTACTAGTACTACTACTATACTACTACTAGTACTAGTACCACTAGTAGGACTATCACCCAAAGGAGTACTATGGACTCCTCGGTTCGGTATTCCTA